TCTAAAGACCCACACACTGACTTCAAATTGGGGACCCAGACAGTGATATCGTTTGCCCAGTATTCCTGCCCTTGATTCAGCCACATCAGTCTAAAGGGCAAAGATGTAAACCTCTGCCCGGTCTCTGTGTGTAAGCTGCCCAAGATCAGACACGCTTGGTCCAGAATGTTCAGCCATCTCGTTTTCCTTTCTGAGCCAAGGGCAGGCAGCTCACGGTTTTTATGTTAGAGGTAAAGCCGGCTTCATAAATACATCATACATCTCTTTCTTCCAGCTGGCAAAAAGCAAGCAGAAGGAGCCGAGAGAAGGGCTGAGTTTTGTACAAATAGGAGTACATATTTTGACACATAAGTGAAAGAAAGAAATAAGGGTGAGAAAACACAACTTGAGCAAGCACAGAAAAAAAAGTGTGTACAGTCAAAGACATTTCCTTTTCTCATTGATTTTCTGAGCAGGCATCATTTAAATAATGCTGCCCTGATTTTTGCATCAAAATTGAGCTAAGTGCATTTCTCTGTGTTCTTCTTTGTGTGTTTTTTTTCCGTGCAGGTGTTGATTGTGGATAGCGCACTGCTTGAGAATGAGCATTGCGATATGCACTTAATGTCATTTTCAGTTAACCCTTTTTAGAATTAGTAAAAACTGAGTGTCGTCTGTTCCAGTTTCAGCTCTACAAGGACACAGAAGGCAAAGCTTTGGCTACGTATCCAGCAGCCCCAAAATATTCCACTCTATTCCCTCTTTCAATATAAGGCCAAGCAATAGCAAAGCAATATTAGAAGTCAGTCACGCTGGCTGGCTTAGTAGGTTTTGTAAATTAAATGTCATAAAAAGCACAAGGTCAGGGAATTCAAAGTTGATGCTATTCAAATTCCAACATTTTCTCAAGCAGAAACGTGCTTAATTTCTCCTTTTTATCCTGCTGCTTTCATCTGCAGTTCATTTCTAATGCTTTCATACAGGGCGAGGGCAGGATGATCCCAGGCAAGGGTGTCATCCATTGGAGAAATCAGACTAATCACAGCTGCCACCAAAAACTCCCTCGCTCCCCGAACCAACATGCCACAGTGTGATTTTTCTAATCTGTGGTGATGTGTTGTCGTATACTTCTCAGTAAAGAGTGAGCTGGGGAAACGCCTCACGCCCCAGGGAGCAGCGGAAAGATTCACTAAGCAAAAATAAAAAAAGAGCTGGTTTTTAAAAAACAGCGCTTAACATTTGGCTTCAGTGTCAGACTTGCCCTTCTTCAAGGATCTTCTACCACAAGTCCCAATCAGGATCCCACAGTGGCAGGACTGACACTAAAGATCTCATCTCAAAGAAACACTAATACTGGTCTAACTCAGCGTGTGAGCATTTTAGGACATTTTTTTAGGAATCTAGATATCTCTTTCTTCCATTTTTATGAGAAGTTTGTTTGTTTTATAACGTGCTCTTTGCAAAAAAAGTGAACAATATTTGCTAAATAAATACATTAATAGATACATTGTGTCTTTCACAATCTTAAACTGCTTATTTACCTTCCCTGAGGCATAGTGGGAACTGTTGATGTACATGGTACTCATTTTCCAAAATGTGAAGTATTATTATCATAAAAAAGTTAAGTCCCTACTATATCAAAGAAAGCTTACACTTCTTTTTTAACCTCCCCCCAAAGCATTATGGGAACAGTAGTTAAAAAAATCACCGAGCAATATAAGACCAGTAATCAAAACAAAACCAACAGGTGTTACTGCGATGGAAGCGGGCATGTGAACTGGTTCAGATATAACTGATTCCAATTTTTCTAATAAACTCCACGACCAGAAACGTGGTAAAGAATACGATACATTTTGAAAAAAGGAGCAGAAAAAAAATCATGAAAAAAAAAATTATGGATAAAAACTGGAAATTCATATTAGTTCAAAGGGCACAGGTTACAGGTGACTTCATACCGTGTGTTCTGCATACACAAACATGTTGTTCAGGTACCGTCTCTTGTGTTTAATGAGGTCTTTTAATCATTTATTTTCAGTTTATTTGTCAGGGAAGATATATGTAGGCATTGTTACATCTAATTAAGTGCAATGGACGTATATAGGACTACTAGCCAAGAATAATTTGCAGCCCTTGTCTCTTTTTGATGCTGATTTGCATTCCACATATGACGGCATAATGTTGTGACATTATCTAATAATAGCTCACACATTGAATCATCCATCAATGTAAAAAAAAAAAAAACAGTAGACGGGAAATTCACCTTTGCTGTTGTTTCCCCCAAAAGAATTATACAAAAAGAGCCCTTAAACAGACACTCAGTACATCAGTCAAAGACATGTTTTTCCCCCTTTTATTTGCACTCACGCTGGTTAGCCGGTGCTTTGAGGTGAACCGAGCCTTTATCTGCCCACTGATCAGCATGAATCTTATCTGGCTTGTTATGTTTTCCTACCAATCGCCTCATTATAACGCTAAGAGGCAGAGGGGAGACATGTGCTTGACTCTGATCTCCACATCCTCTGCTCCAGCCATTAATGTTGGGATGGATTTTCTATACTGTCACAGGGAGATAGAAAAGGATGATAGTCAGGTTGTGGCTGCCTTTCAAGCGAGGAGGGGGTCAAGAGTGGATGAGTGGAGATCTAACAATCAAACAAAAGCAGCTGGATGGATGTTGGCCGTGCGGCGTGGCGTTTTAATTGAAATATCACATTCAGACTCAGTAGGAAAAACATCATGAGGTGCAGGGAGGAGAAACATGTGATGTTGATGCTATGACTCCTGCTGAGGAGGAATAGAATAAGAAAGAGAAGGAGGCAGAAAGGGATTTGAAGTATTTAAAGAGGTAGGAACGTTTTGACATGAGCATTATACCCAATCACTCCAAAACAAGCAGCTTTGAAAATGATGAAATTGGCTTCAAGCGCTTGGAATACACTATGGTTGGTGTGCTGCTTAATGTCCAAGCAGCAGTTTTCTCAGAGCAGACCACTGCATTTTCTGCCAGGCAGACAATGATGACAAAAATCACTGAGAAAAGAGTCTCATTTTAAAATCCAGGGCCCTTAAAGAAAGGATAGCCCAGATTCAAAAGTGCTCTTGAACATACAAACAAAAGAAAGAAAGAAATGAAAATGTAAGAGAGTGAGGTGCATATTCCTTGACTTCACTTGGATCAGCTTGTTCAGAGAAACTATAGATTTTCTGGAAACAGAAAGGAAATGAAAAGAGCATTTTCACCTGTTTCATCAGTTGATTAGATTTGTTCTTCTTTGTCTGGATAAGCCGATCTAATGCAATCAAGTCCGTCATAAAGAGTTTTGATTTACGTCTGGGATTAATGGTGAAATATTTAGTCTGCATGTAAAACAGAGGGAAGTACATTTTCATGTCGGTCCTTTCTGCCAGTTGATAAAAGCAGCTTTTAGTTTCTCTCGTTTTGGGCCTGACAAAGCTGTGCATGTTTTCTCTTTGAGTTTTTGTTGAATTTTTCTAAAAAGAAATATGTTACATATGGCTATTTTGGTGTGCATGCTAAAATTGGAATTCCAATGGATTTCAAAGAACAAATCTAGATATTGGTAATTATCTAAGGCCACAGATTATCTTGCTTGTCACAGAGTGTGTCTACATGGACTTGAGTATTCAGGTTAGGAGCCTTATCCTGGTTTTGATCACAATATTCAGGATATGGCGTTTACATGTGCTCAGACAAACCCGGTTATTCATATTCCTGTATATATAATACTAGTACCAAGGTTTCTAATAGCTGCATCTTATTACATTTTACACAAACCATGCCAATTTTGAAATGGGAGAAAAATTAGACTTTATCTTATTGCGGGCATAGCACTATTCAATGCAGCTGTCACAAACCGACGTAAGGCGTATACATTCCATAGTATCTGGTTACCTTTCGGAGTTCTCCAGGTAGTAAAATGGGGGTTTCCCAAAATTGGGATATAATGATTACACACAAAAACAGGATACCTAAAAACCCTGGTCAAAACCGGAATAACCAAGTCCATGTAAACACACTCATAGAGACATCAGTATTAAATGAAGGCTGTTTTATATCCAATAGAAGATCTTGATAGCCTTTATAAATACCTTTTATAACAAAAACTAATAAAGACTTTAAAGCTATCGTTAGACCAATGTTGCATTTTAACAATAACAGAATTCAATATGTGTAAATGCAAATGTTGTCTTCAATCTTATGTCCACCCTTTTTTGACTTATCACATCTGTTCAGGATGTGACTGCATATTGAAAATCTGTGCTTTTGCAATAAGAGATGGTAAACAGAATGAGATTACAGTCGTTGTTGACAAGATTCTTGATTTTGAGCACGTGGCTGAAAGAAAATCATGTTATCTCCTCTCAGAAAAGCACTCTGCCTCTTCTTTCAAAACTCTCTCTGATCTCAAATCTGTCCTCTCTTCCATCCTGCAGACAGAGAATGACGGGGAAGATTTCTATCATTGTAATTTACTGCCACCTTTGCGGAGTCTGGCAGTGGTAAAGGGCAATATAACACAATCAAATCCTTCATTATTAATCTTACGACCTCGGACCGTCCTCTTCAGTGTTTATGACCTGGAATAATTCACTAGCAAAAAAAAAAAAAAAAAAAAAAAAATGGCACTAAGATGAGCTTTATGCTGCAGCATTCTCATTTGATAACACAAAGACATTCTGATTGCAAGCAAACCATATTGTCTGTATTGACAAACGAAGCATAATGTGTTTGCTAAAACACACTGAAAAATCTATCAAATCAAAAAAAGAATATCTGAAAAGACGGGATGACGTTGGAAATTGCCGCATGACAAAACCTTTAAAAAACTACTGCACAACAAGGACTATTTAGAACTAAGCCAAGCACAACAAAACAAAACTAAGAGAATAAAAGCAAACAAACTGAAACATCAGTTTTCTTTTTCTTCTAATAAAAAATCTGTTGTTTCAGATGTTAGCTTTTGTCAGGCTGAGCTAAAGGCACAGCAGCCATGACTCACCTCGTGCTTTGCCTTTTGACGCCATCACTGGAGTCCACAAGAAGACAAGAGGGGTGGGATGGACAGCAAGAGAGGCAGAAGCCAGAAAAAAAGAGAGAGAAAAGAACAAAGACAAAAGACAGAGCAACTGATTAGATAACTATAGGAAGACAACCGTATGCCCGGATCTGCGTCAATGCAGAAACGGCAGGGTCTTTATCTTGGACGTCAATCACGAGTGCTGAAACCTGGCAGCGTACGTTCGGGCCTGAAAGAGAATGTCCTGATTTAGCTCATCAGCAGATTGAGACTTTACAACGTAGCATCTTTTAATTAGCCACGTCACATCATCTGGATGATGTGAGGAGGCATGTTGCTTTCTAATGAGCCTACAAGATCCATCAGGACATGGGCCTACTGTACAGATCAAGTTATTGGGCAGGAAATAGCTACAACTATTATTATTATACATTATGATCATCATTATTTGTTATTGCTATTATAAGTTATATCTAATATTATTATTGGTAATGCTTCTATAAGTCTGTAATATCTGTTTTTACTGTGTGTCTGTCTGTCTGTGTGTGTGTGTGTGTGTGTGTGTGTGTGTTTGACAGTCTTTCTTAATCCCTGACTGTCACCATGTCTGTCTGTCTCAGACTCTGACTGGCTGTATCCCCCCCCTCGGTGTCTTTATTCTGTCTGTCTGTCTGTCTGTCTGTCTATGTCTGTCTCTCTTTCATCCTCCATGTCTTTTTCACTGTCATTCTGTTTCTCCCTGACATTGACTTTTTGAATGTCTCCCTCCCTCTGCCAGAGCGAGCATCCCATGGCAAAGGCAAGAGGCCCTTACTCTGTATGTGTGTCTGCAATCCCTTCCTTTCTGTCTGTCTGTCTGTCTGTCTGTATGTTTCCCTGTCTGCCTGTCTGTCTGTCTGCCTCCATCTCCCATACTTTGTCTGTCCGTCCACCTGTCTGATTGTTTTGTCTTCAATACTGTACTTTTTCTTTTTTCTCTGGCTCACCTTGATTTAACTTCTCTGCACATTTGCTTTTGGCAGATGGCTGTCCACAATGAGTTTGGTTCTGCTCAGGGTTTCTGTTTCTCTAATTATTCCAAAGAGAAAGGTCCAGACATTCTCTCAAAGTAACATATCATAAGGTTACTTATAATATGATTCTGCAAAAAAATTAAAAATAAATAAAATATTGATTACTTGTTGGAATAGTGTGCTATTTTTTGACTTCTAGTGGAAATTAAAGATTTTAAAAACAGCTTAAGATTATTAAAAGTTTTTTTTAGGTTGTACATATTCAGCTTTGTTGTTGTTGTTGTTGTCGTCAGTGTCTTTAGGTTGTGTATGTTTAGGACAGACTGCTGTCATGAGTACGCGCATGAATGCATGCGAGCATCATATTAGCCTTTGACTGACAGCACTGTAATCAACGAGGAGGAGCACAGACAGGACTGTTTTCTGTCAGAGTTGTATACCATGATATGTGAAGGTTCAGTGCACAGCTCGGTGAAATCTATACAGGCCTTACTGTATGTATCCTGGTCTGAAAACAAAGGGAGACACAATACAGAGACGCAAACAACAAGAGCATCACCTCTGAGACATCCTGCCAGTTAAAATCAGCACAGAGCCAAATAAACAACATAGATTCTCTATTATCAAGCATGTGTGTCTATGTGTTTGCACGTGTATCCCCAGGGAATGACTCTTATGCTTCACACATACTGCTTTGCCAAATTGATGGATCTATTGGAATGCCTCCAGTGAGCCTGAAAACCTGAACAGCTCTAGAGACAAAGCCTGAAAAATGAACGAGAGGGAAAGAACAAAGAGAATGTAACCGCAGGTGCCGCGTCCGCAACTTATGAAGATTATTGTGCTATCTTTTCGATTATGGATTAATAATTCACTCCCATCCCTGTACACAAGGAATGTAGAATATGAAAACAGATTCATTGCGAGTGCTGCGAGAGATGCACGCCAGCTGCTGATGAGTCCAGCCAAACTTCCAGCTCTCACAAACAGATTTGTTTATTTTATATCCGAGTGTCATCAAATCCTGATAGCCAATTTTCACCGGCTGATAGAGACGATTATGTTTTGTTACCACAATTCACAGCTTGTTCAAAGGTGCAAGATATATACAGTGTGGAAGAGTGAAAGGGAAGAAAGGAAACTGATTATTTTCTTGCATGTTTTTGTGAATTTCCGACTTCATTTTCTACCACCCCGTATGCGCTGAATGAGGAACAAAAAGCAGGAACAGTAAAAAGTATGATTCTCATGAACACAAAGCAACACTATTCGTCACTGTAACACATACAGCAGGTGAAAACTTCGCACCGTGCTGCTGTGTAACTGGTCAGGAGGGAGATGGACCGACAGAGGAACAGGGCAGCGAGTGTCACGTCTCCTCCGACGCTTCTTTCTACATGAGACTGATGGCTTTGTGAAAGATTCCCCCAGCCAAGTCTGACCTCACCCTACAGTATACTCCTGCCTTTCATCCCACTTGTCAAGGTACCAGTTTCCTGTCACAACTGTGGCTCTGTGATCTTTCTCAGCCAGTGTGAAAAAATAAAATAAAAGGAGGAACCTGGAGACGAAAGATGGAAAAACAGTCTATATTTCAACAGCAGGAGTCGTATGCAGCTACAGAGATAAAGAGAAAAAGAAAGGAAAGAGAAAAATGGTGGGAGACATATTCACTATACTCTCTCCCTCTGCACTTGTATTTCTGTATTACAGTTACCAGGCAACCAACACAACAGTTTTCTAAGTCCTGGCAAGCATAAATTGAATAAAACGCTTTTCATACCACTCTCTCATTCCCCCATTTTACCGTGCCATGAGCAGAGTATTCCCAATCCATGACACAATGGCCACCTCTCACATGCTCTCAGAACTCCTGATTGAACTGAATACAGTAAAGAACCCAAAAAAACAGGAGCCTGAATGGGATCCAATTGGCCTATTTCTCCCTTACAAAGGGCTAGCTTGACCTAATTTGCTCCTATTTGATTTCTCTTTTACTTCCATTGTGTCAAATCTGGTAGATTTTAAAATTAAAAAAAAGAACATATTTGAAAATAAGCAATGTAAGCTTAATCATAATCTCCTGTGAGCAAGCAATGTGTTTTTTTAAAGTGAAATATATGGCATAAACTGGAATGCATTTTACACATCTTTTGGTCTCTAAGGTTTCACTAAAAGATGAAAATAAAAAGTGCTAACTAGTGCTGACCACATGTTGAATCATTATATATCGCATTGGTGTTTCAAACAGAAATATTGGACTAATGTGCAACCGATATGTGTGTGTGATGGTGGGGGGGGGAGATGATGATGTTGGTGGTGTAACTCTTGTTGTTCTTTTCTCTAGTATAGATATTATAAATCTTAAAAATAATTCTATCACTCTAGTTAAGAACACTTACTGTACCCTTACTTTCATTTTTGGTTATATAAGAGTTAAAGTAATATCGAGAATCTTTCACAGTGAAGTGAGTTGAGAAGATTTTACCTTAAAGGAAGAATGTGCTACATTTTACACGCAAATATAGCAGCAATCAAGTGACATCGGAGAACTCAGGTTCAGCTAAATAGCATTATGTCTATACATGTACCAATCAAGATATATATTTCCAACAGACTATGACACATACCAGGTGATACCTTACTTTTTAAATAATTTGTAAATGTTTTGTTTCAAATTTCAAGTACAGAAATTGCTGTAATCCAAACATGAAGCATCTTATTTCATAACCTTAGCCTGACGACTGGGGCTATTGGTCTAAGGAGAACTGTGTGTATGCAAACACAGTGTATCTGAGAGAATGAAATGTGACTGAGTGAATGGTGGTGGAAGTGACGAGCTCAGAGTTGTAAGAAGCTTGTTCTTTCTTTCTGTGACTTTCAGCGGGGAGCCATCATAAATAAACTGTGTGATAGTTCATACAGACACCACCTACTGTGACACAAACACACACGCACACACACATAGCAGTGATCATGGTATTCCCTTAGGCTATAAGTCTCCTGGGAAGACGTGTACAATTGCAACATCCTTCCTGTTTTCCTCTTTTTTTTCCCCCTTCCCTCTTATCCTCCCTTCAAGTTCTCCTCATTCAGGTGTCTCATCCGCCTTTTTTTAAAATTCATTCTGCATCCTCATTAACCCTTTCCTTACCCGCACAGCTCCTCTTCTTTTTTCCCTTCCCCCCCTCGGGCTACCTTTTTCACAGTGCCAGATTTATTCAGAGTCTGACATCCACTGAAAAGCCTATGGAGATGGATGTGTGTAGCGCGGCTCTCACTGCTGTCACATAGCATGATGGAGAGTTTAGCTTATCTTTCGTACGGCAGCAGCTGTTTTGCCGTATGTTTGATGTACTCCAGGCCCTTGGAATGCAACCAACACGCCACCGGTGAGCAGATTGCTGTAAAACCTTTACACACTCTTTGTCACCTTATGACTTGGCCGTACATGGAGCCATCAATCCAAGAGAGCATGCACAAGAGCGTCAAAAAAAATCAAAAAAATCAAGGAAAAATAGACACAAACAAAGAGCGAGCTCTGCAGACATTTGTGTGAATTTTGATTTCAAGAGGATTATTGGCATAAAAAAGAACTCTGCATGAACGCAAACACATATTTAAGTCTTGTTTGATTAAGCTGTAGATGTATTTTAATGTTGTTTGATTTCACACAGCTTTCTCTTAAGGCTCTTAATTCATCTTAAGGTAATGACGGTGTGGTTAAAAGTGTTAATGGATGAAATCAAGCCTACATAACTCAGCTTATTGCAACCATACCGCCTGCTTTATTAGATCTGTCTACCTTGTCCTTGTTTTCTCTCATTACACAGAGACACACACATCTGTTTATTTTGTCATTGAATCAGCCATATTTGATTTCCCCGTCTTAACTCGATTACACAAGCATACCCTGTCCACCGCAAAGTCACACCGATAAAACACACACAGAAGACACACGTGCACATTTAAAGAGGCACACGTGTCCATGACACA